ATAAACGCGAAAAATACTGCCAAAATACCGAGCGACCCTACTCTGCTTGGAGAGTAGCTTTTATAGATCGATGCTGCTGTCTGTAATTTCGTGCACTGCATGTTTGTTATTATAATACTAGTAAACTGTTTCGGGAAAATGTATGAAAAACATGATCGATTGTTAATGAAAATGAAATAATTGGTAGAATCTACCGCAATATGATATTATGTCACATGTCGGCTTTCCTCTGTTAACTTACATTCCCCGTGAAGGGCACAAGCTATAAGACATGGCAGGATTCGAACTCGAGACCTCCTGGTTCTGAGTCGTATACTCTACTGTTACGGCCATACGACCCCACACTGATTTAAAAAAAAAAGTGTGGGGTCGTGTGGCGCAACGGCAGCGTGCGCGACTCGGAATCAAGAGGTCCCGGGTTCGAGTCGTGACATGCCACAGATCTTTGGGAAAGGCACTTTACATGACTTTCCTCACTAGATTCAAGTATCCGTTTCTATGTGCGGGACACAACACCGGCAACAGCTGCCTCTGTTCCGCGGGTATTGCACTGTTGCAATTTCAATCAATCAAATCAATCAAATAAAAAAAGTTTTTTTTTTCCATACAGGTTAACGTTTCGCACATAGTGGTGTTTATGAACAAGTGTGACATGGTGGACGATGAAGAACTACTGGAACTGGTGGAGCAGGAAATCAGGGAACTTCTCAGCGAGTATAACTTCCCTGGGGATGGTATCCCGGTCATACAGGGGTCTGCTCTAGGGGCTCTCAACGTACGTATGTAGAAATGTGTTTAGTTGTGACTCAGGGCTAGACAATTATGAGAGAACAATTGCATATGGGTTCGTCCAACTAGAGCACAAACGAGGCCCGGGACGAGGTCCTTGTTAAAGAAGTTTGTGAATTACGAACTTTGCTATTCTATGAATTCGTTTTTCTAACAAACAAACAAACAAACAAACAAACAAACAAACAAACAAACAAACAACACTGGACATAGGGATTTTTCTTCTTAGACAACGCGTACTTTATCACACTTGCTTACCCGTACACAACTCAGGTGCAGTACGGGTTATGTAAGAAGAAAAAACACCTAAGTCCTACCAACGAAATAATTTTCTTGAACACGTATTTGTACCAAAATATAACATCTCACCTTTCAACTACTATTGGCTCCAAATGAGACTTAAGTTTGTTGTACCTTACGTTTTCTTCAGGGCGAAGAAAAATGGGAGGCCAAAATCGTTGAGCTGGCGGAGGCTCTTGACTCCTACATCCCTGAACCTGAGCGAGCGGTGGACAAACCATTCCTGATGCCGATACAAGATATATACGATATAAAGGGTGCGTTTCGGCATTTTTTTTTTGGTTTTAAGTGGTTTAGAGATGAGTAGCGTGTTTGTACAAATCATGATGACATAAAAGATAAAAATGTGGAAGTGAGCATTATCCAACCTAGTACTAGTACCCATTTCCATCTGAGTGAGGTGAGGAAAGGCGTGTTAAGTGCCTTTCCCAAGGGCACAACATCGGGGCATCGAACTCGGGACCTCTTGGTTTCTAGCCGAACGCTTTGACCACCCGATGCCACTGACTCAGGGGACATACATGTATTTTACAGATGTTGGTACAGTGGTGGCAGGCACGATCGAACGTGGGACTCTCAAGGTTGGAGATGAAGTGGAAATAGTTGGGAAAAAAGAGCACCACTAAGACGACTGCTACAGGTTGGTACTTACAATCTTATTGTGACGTTTATGCTATTGTAGGGCTCAGAAAATGCCCTTATAGGCTTTACATATTAAATGAAAATGTATTTTTCGGTACGCCGTCAGTCGAGAAGTCAGGCTAAGACAAAAACTGCAAAAAGTATTTCTATGTAATATCTAGTTACAAACTTGAAATGAGGATTAGTGTCATAGTATGCTTGTTGGTATGTATCTTGACTTGACTTATGTACCAGTACATGCCATACGCTGCAATTGTACATCTTGTTGTTGATTCCAGGCGTTGAGATGTTTAAGAAAGTGCTGGAGGATGGCAGGGCAGGAGACATCGTCGGTGTCCTGCTGAGAGGTACGAAGAAGGACGAGGTGGAGCGAGGACAGGTGTTGGCCAAGCCTGGCAGCATCACGCCTCACACCAAGTTCCAAGCTGAGGTGGGTCCTGATTTTCTTTTATTTCTTTCACACAAGATATGGTGACGGCACGCTCAAGTTTATTCAACCTATAATATATGCCACCACCAACGTTAACGCACTGGAGAATAGCCATTTTACCTGAGCCTTGTGCCCTTGTAAAGTGCCTTTCCCAAGGATACAAGATCGGTAACATGGCAGGATTCGAACTCGGGACCTCTTGGTTCTAACTCCACGTGTGACGTGCTGTTTTAGAAATGTTAGCAGCGAGCCAGAATTTCTGTATTTTTATCATATACAATTGCTGAGAAATAAAGATTATGTACTAGTATCAAATATATTTTGCATGCCTTACGTATACATTACATAGTTTAGTGTACGTGCATGTAGTTGTCAGTCATCAACATTTTTTTCTTCTAATTCCTAAATATGACGCAGATATACGTCTTGAGTAAAGATGAAGGCGGACGTCATACGCCGTTTTTCAACAACTATCAACCTCAGTTCTATTTCCGGACCATGGACATCAGAGGAAAAATCACGATTCCCGAGGGAGTGGTGAGTATAGTAGACATTAGGAGTCTGTCTAATTATAAGCCTGGGAAAATGGAACTTATCATTTGAAAAGCGTTTTTGTTGCCATATATTCAAAATTGAAGTTGTGTCTACAGATTTAAATTGCATTAGAGCCGTCGATTTGTTTTACAGTGGGTACGACCGTACGTGCAAAGTACAACATGTAGGAAGTATCATGTCGACATGTCTTGAACTGACTTCTTTCTGCACTTATTTCAATTCAATTGAACTGAATGTAAAACAGTAGCCCCTTGCTAGGCTACCAATATATCTCCTTTCTAATTCTAGAGTGTGCTTTAAAAGAAATAAAATGCGTCAAATGTATGAGTTTTTTCTCTCCATATGAATTGCCACAGGAAATGGTAATGCCGGGAGACAACGTCAAAGTGACAGTAGAGCTGGTCGCTCCCGTCGCCATGGACGAGGGCATGCGGTTTGCTATGCGTGAGGGCGGGCGGACAGTCGGTGCTGGGGCCGTGACCAAGATAGAAGCATAGAAGTTACAACGAATGGTGGTTATGATTGTTATCACAGCTGGCACAGGTCGTGCGCTGTTAGTTAGTCATGTGGGCTCCATAAAATAATCCGATCAGGTTAACGTTGGGGTGACGAATCAGCGGAGAGTGCATGCGCATTTTTTTTCTTCACTAATGACAAGCCAGAACTCTCTTCCAATCGCAGGCCAGTATTGAATATGATATCAGAGACGCCATTACTAGTCTACTAAGAGTAGAGTAGAATATAGTTACTAGGTAATAGTTGGGTGGATTTTAATATCAAAATGTCGTGTGGTGGCTTTTGATGTTAATAAGTAACTTTTTATATCATGGAAATAAAGTACAAAGCCGTGATAAACTATATAACAACACTTGTTATCTAAGCATTGTGAGTATTGATATTAGATCTGGCGTTGTATACTAGTAGTATTAGTGCCATCGAACGATCGAGTGACGTGCGACGTATTAGGGTAATCAGGTATCAATACTTGTATTTAACTAGCGAAATAAAATAACGTGCCCTATTCGTATTTTGGTCTTTCTTTCTCTGTGAGATAACTTTTAGCATAACATATGTGAGTTCTTAATAAGAGTGATAAAGGTGACAGTGGTCCTTGCGTACCCATGTGTTAGAATAAAGTTCAGCATCGTACGAAGAACGTAAGATGTATACGATCAATATAGATGTATCAGACACCATGTGGTGTATCAGGGTGTTGACCCTTGACCTTGCCACTGCCTGAAAACGAGCGGCAAAACCAAAACTCAGATCCGACTTGTCAAAGGTGGGTTTCATGTTTTTTTATCACAGATAAGTGAGAGAAATTTGGACAGAGAAATATCAAACCACCACAGATATGTTTTATATGCATGTGTGTCTTCGGGTTATGGTTAAAGCAGAGTCTAAAGCTGGTCGTTCGAAACCGAATGCTCTAGAATTTGAAGTACTGTACATGTGGGGAGGGGGGTACAGATGTTCGTTCGTATTTTGCCGCCATGTCACAGGCTTGTACGTGTGTGTGTAAAAAGCTCCTGGTTAGATTGTTATTGGGCGCTGTTTTGATACATATGTCTACAATTATCACAGGGATGAGTCATCGAAACCATCGGTAAGGTCTTCTGGAGTCACGGAGGCAACTTTTATCATGACAACAATTTGACAAGTAGATGTTAGGTATGTATGTGGGTATGTGCAACAAACCATCACTACAAAGGTATTATAGAGCAGTACGTCGGTGAAGGTTAGACATCCAGGTAATATTAGATACGCCAAAAAACAGTTACTCAAGCAACTGGATATGATTTTGGAAACGGTCAGACGTTTCTTGTAGCATCCACAGAGCATATAGCATTATAGAACAGTAGTTTGTTAGGATAGACCATGCGAAGTGTTTGATCATGCGTTTGCTTTGAAAATGTTCAGATGTATAGTGTTTACCTCCATATGGTCTATCCAGCCATCACAGTTCTGTTATTCTTTGATACTCAAACACACATTCATATGATTTTCAAATATATATTCAAATAATTGTAAAAAGCAAACATATATTTATTGGCAATCATCAACTACGGTTAAGCTCAAAATTGCTTCAACCTGGAATTTTGTTATTTCATATAAGGTTTTACATTGTCCATTTAAGTATGTGCCTTGATTCTACATGAACTAAACAAATAGATATCTACATATACTGTGAATTACTATTTTACGTTACAGTGTTTAGAGTTACATGAAATTATGATACTGACAATTAGTCTTTCTGATTCACACTGTCAATACATGGGGATATACTAGTATATAGAAAATTATAATCTACAGATTCTTTGAAACAAACGTACACATGTATTTACAAAGTTGCTGCCTACGTATGTGCGTTTTCATCATTTACAAGACTACACACTCAGGGAGTCAATCAGTCGTCTGTAGGCATTAATTCGAGAACGTTTATATGGAAACTAAATGAAATCTTATGTTTTGCAGTGAGTTTTTTTGTGATTAAAAGCTAGAAACAAATAAATACCGAATGCTATCTATATACAGTAGCTGGTGGTCACACATGTATACACTATACTGTCTACTAATTATAAAGAGTCACATGTTTTAACTCTAAGCTTAACATTTTTCGTTGTAATATTTTGGTTACAAATGAACTTATGGCACCTTTAAATATTAAGTGATGGTCATCATAGGGTTAACGTTTTGTACGAACTTTTTTTTGCTTTGGGATCATGATGTGCACCCTATTGCAAATGCAACAAAAAGTCATGAACATTTACACTCAGAGAGACAAAACGTTGTCGAAAAATATTTTTCTTCAGTCCAAACAATGTTTGGAGATCACACGTAATGTTCCTCGTCTCCGCCACTGCGGCCAAGAGAGGACCTGGACCCCCTCGTCTTCAGTGGAATATTTCCGCCATCTTTTCTGACGGGCCGAACCCCTTTATCCCGGCGTGCTGTTCGCTTCAGAGTCTTGGCATTTCCGCTTCCGGTTCTCCTGTTGCTGCCCGTGCTTCCGGCACTGCTGGGACGGTAGGCAAGTCCCCGGATGCTTCTCGGTGAGACAGGGGACGGTCGGTCGGTAGAGCGTGGTGACGGCGCGTCAGTGACGTCGCCCTGCGCTTTCCGTGACGCTCCAGCGTCGCCTGCGGTGCTCGCGCGGCGCTTGTGACGGTTGACGTACGGGACAGCGGGCGGCGTTTGCTGCCGTACGGCGGGATAAGACGGCCTGCTCCTCGCGCTGTCAGGATTCAGCGGTGACGAGTCGTAACCACTTGATGGCGTCGAGTTCTGACTGCCGCTGTCGTGTCCGGTAAACAGGTGATCAAACGCCGCCAGCTCTGACATGGGGGAAGGACCCTCGTATGTCTTCAGCCTCCTTTTCCAGCGCGACCTTTTCCAGATGCAGTACACGACCGCAGAGACGACGCCGACCACCACGACGGTAAACGCCGCCGCTGAGACGGCAATGATGAGCAGAGTCCAGTCAAACTGTTTACCTCCGCCACTCTGTGCAGCTAGACCTGACAAAGTGAACACGTTTCTCGCGGTAGTGACTACAGTCGTCGTCGTAGTCATAGTCGACGTCGTAGCGACAACAGGTGGTGGTGGTGGTTGGCCCGTTGTTGTGCCTAACTGTGCCGTCACGTTTGGTAGTAGTGTTGTCAACCTCGGTGGAGTCGTGGTGGCAGGGAGAGGCCGAAGAACACGCAAAGTCAGCACCGCCCAAGCGTTGCTGTCTGCCTCACAGATGTACGTCCCGCTATCAGCCAATCGGACACGCGTGAACGGCAAGATAGGTCCTGATTGGACGGATCTGGTTGGGGTACCTCTGACGTCACCCGTCATCTTGAGCCAAGTGATCTTGTCACTACTCACTCCAGGTGAAGTGCACACGACAGTCACGCTGTCGCCGGCGTATGCGGTCACGTCGGATGACGAAAGGTTGATGGACATCGGTGAAACCGGACACACGAGTCTATCAGGGGCGAACTGTAGCAGTATGTCAGCGGCAAGCCCTCTCAGCATCCTCGGTACCGCACACCGTATGCTGCGAGTGATGTTAGCACACCATTGCAGCTGTAGCAGGTTGCAGTCACACAACCACGGGTTGCCGTACAGCTGCATCGTTTGGACGAGGTTTCCTCCGTTTCGGCAGAAACCAGCGCTGAGGGTTTGCAGCTGGTTTCTGGATATGTCCAGCTGCTTCAGCGTCGGCACCCACGAGAACGCGTCTTCGCTAACACGAGCTAACTTCATCCGGGAGAGATCCAGCTGCTCAATAGCCATCAAACCCATGAAACAATCGCTGGGAAACGACGAGATCGGATTTCCTCCGAATTTGAAAATGCGAAGTCTAGGCAGGAGGGTCAACATCCCACACGGGATTGCCGTGAACTGGTTGTCGGAAAGATCCAGTAGCTCTAGCTGATTCAGGTTGTTGAATGTTCCACCCGAGATTGTCTGTAAACCGTTACTGCTGAAATCCAAATAACGCAAGCGGTAGAAGTTGGAAAACTGGTTGGCCGTGGTGGGTATCATGTTGTTCGAGAGGTCCAGGATGATGGTGGATGCCGGTATCCCGGTGGGCATTGCGCTGAGGTTGAACATGTTGCAGTGAACGGCGTTGACGGTAGGGTCGCAGTCGCACACCAGCCACCTCCCGCACGCCCGTAGCGTTTGGGAACGCACGACCGCCTCAGACATCAGGACCGCGATGATGACGTATATTGTAGACGCCATCTTGGTTTCCAAGATGTAGGCACAGCTATGCTTCTGCTGTTTCAAAAGGAAATAAAAGAATGACATTATTCTCCAACTTATATAATGGGTAGCGTGTGCATTTATTTTTTTTAGACTCAACTTTGCAGAGAACAAGGAAATGTATTTACATGTAATATAATGCGGCTACAAGATAGTTGCTGATTACACATCTCAATTTTCATTTGTTTTGATTATAACTGCTACTTATCTAAAGTTTCTCCCTTTCACATGGCAATTGCTTCGGCTTTTATTGTTTCATTTATTTCGTTTCCTTTTTTATATCTAGACAGAGGTTACAGCCCTGGCATATTCATTCATCTCCATCGACTGTACTACAAGTGAAGGTAAGATACATTCATTAACGTTGCGTTATGTTATGTTAAAGTTAAAAATGGTATGTTATGTTATGTTATGTTATGTTATGTTATGTTATGTTATGTTATGTTATGTCATGTTATGTTATGAGCTGGTTTGTTACGCCGAAAGGCGCTTATACCGTTTATACAGATACAGTTATGTTATGTTACTAGCATGTTATGAAGTTCTGTTTTGCTATGTTAAAGAAACAACACGAATAACAAATGCATCAATTTATGATGGTTTGAAATATTATACCGTTGAAAGAAATGTGTTCTGGTTGTAATTTTGTTGTTTGGTTGTAATTTTTGTTGTTAATTTTGGTTGTTACGTTCGTCAAATTATGTTTGGTCTTGCGTTTTATATAGACAACTAGTACTAGTAATCTCCAAACAGATATTTTGGTAAAGACAGTAACAAATTGGCCAGGCATTATCCATTTGCCAGACAGTATCCAATGCCGCCGGCGGTATTGGATTCTGTCTGTCCATTTTGACACTATCTTTGCAGCCACCAAAAGATCTGCTTAGAGATTAGACAAATGGTCATATGATTTGAAAGATTACGAACGTATCTGTCCAACGATAACGTATTGATTGATAAAGATAAAGTGTAGAACACATAATCAAACCTAAATGTCATCTAGCGTCACGCATCATGCAAAGACGTGCAAGCATTATTCCTTTAGAAAACACCAAAGCCACCGATACACGTACACAATATCACACAAACACCAAAGCCACACACAGAGTAACTCTACACACATAATATATAGACACTACACAAACACAAGGTCAAAGATACAGAGTTAAAGGTGACATAAAATACGCCGAACCTTGTTCCGTGACAGCGTCATACACCTCCGTGCCTCCACCACACGCATACCCAGTGATCGCTAGACTGTATGACGCACATTATCTGAATTGACTCTCTTAAGAACCCTTAAGAACCCTTTCAATTATTACTATCATCTTAATACCCTCCTTCGATATGGGTATTTGTCACATTTTGACGGGCATTCACCCCATTTTTGTGTCTTAAGCTTGTCTTGAATGGTGCAATTATGTAGGTATTTTTGCCCGTTTTCAAAGGACATCCTGGCGCGCTGATGCCGCGTGTATCGCCGGTGTATTACCCCGCTTGACATCGATAATCCTCCCGCACGCGACGTGTCAGTCTCGCTTAAAGGAGACAGATCACACGCGCGCGTCCCAGAGAACTTTTGGCATGTGATATTTTGCCTAAGTGACGCGTGGTAAAGTCGAGAAGACATTTCCTCGGTGAACCAATTCAGATCAGGCAATGGAGTAGAATTTATGTGATGATTTATGAATCGGTTTGAAACCTCGAGGTCAACAATTGCTCGAATCGTAACTGTAAGTCTGGTAGACTATAGACAGATGTGAGTTGGTTTTAAAATCGCATTTTGGGTATCAGGTTGAATTGTTGTTCCTACTAGCTACTAGTATATAGTCTTAGAATACACAACAATTTACCTGATTAGATTTTGATATTAGTATCAGCTGAATTAGTCAAACTTTTTTTTTTTCAATACATACGTATATTTTATGTTTGGGACGCCTCTGGTAACATTATTGTTTTTTTTAAATAATTACAGACATTTTGAAAACACACTTTATTTTATTTTCTATTGGAATGTAAGTTCAACATGTTTCGTTTATGAGGGCCGGAGTTTCTACTCTGACGTACGCCTAGAATGTTTTATACATATTTCTTTTAAAAGCTATCCACAAAGTTCTGAAATGCAAATTTAGAACAAAAGTGAAGACAAGAGTCATACGTGAGCTGACTACAACCCCTACCAGACAAACACACAAAATGAGATCTTTTATTTTAGCCAAATAATTCTCCAAGTAAACCTACCTGCGGATGGCCTGCCTTGTTCTCGGCTACTGGGTGTCGCCTGTGTACAGGAATGTTTGGTTTCTCAGAAGGCCACAGCACGCTTATAATTTTTTTATTAATCGATAGTTTTGGGCGTGCAGTTCCGTTCCGGCTCACAATGGAATGGATCATTACACTAAATGATTGAGACTGAATCGTAGTGACGAGTAGACTTAATCTTTAACATGATATGTCTGAAGGTTATGATTTAGGAACTACGATCTCATTGTTAAATGTGTGGGAAATATTTTCCATAGGTTAAGTTTAAAAAAATTGTGATTTGTAGAAAATCAGCATCATGAATTAAACCAGATCGCATATTTACATTGCCGTTGTTTAAGCATGCTATGCTATGTTGTCTACAATGTTTGTAGGTCTTTTATGTTTCTTGGCTTGGAAATGTGCCGTTTCGTCTCTTCCGATTTCGTATGACTGGAAATATACTTTCTACATTATCCTAAAGTTAATAGGCCTTGAAATGAGCCATGCTTCAGATATGCAGCCCTTATACAGACACGCCCACTCACTATCGTAGTGAATAGTTTTTAGTAATCTCCAAGCAGATCTTTCGGTGGCTGCAAATTGGTGATTTGCCAGGCAGTTACCGTTTACCACCGGGTCGTAAAAAGATACTAGTACAAGAAGTAGAGCCCGAAAAAACGCATAAACACTCCAAAAATAAGCCCAAGTCTAAACCTCTGCTTGGAGAGTAGGTTTTCAGGAGCATAGCGTGTGGGAGAATCGTCAATTAACCGCGTACCCATTGACATGTAGACCATCTTTCTCTGGTACGTTAATCTTTAGGAACACACCGTACAACAATGAAACGTACAGCCTTCGTAGTGACATCAATTCATTCATGAACGTAACAAAGAGGTCGATTTTTCTCTCGTGCCTGTCCATTGTCAGTGTCTGTCAAACCTAATAAATATATTAATACCTCTTATTATGTAACTATTCAACCGTGAATGTTCATACAAGGCCGAATTTGTTGTTGTTGCTACTATTTATTTATGAAAAGAAAACAGAGAATTTGGTTGGAATTTCTGCTATTATATATTTCGCGTAACAAACGCTGGTATCAATTCGCAGTCATTCGCGGAATTTGAAATATTTGAAGAAACAGCCAATAGACATTCTCTTACAAGAATCTGCTTTTCAGAAGCATCGTGTGAATTCATAACTGGAAGATAATAGTAGATAAATCGCCATCGTAGATAAATCGTTCTTGGTACCCCTTTACCATTTATTCTAGAATAGACTTTCAAAAATCTCTGCCCGTAAAACACTTAACACTTACACAGACGCATTTAATTGAGGATTATATCAATGCATAATCCTTATGGCTTTAAAGAACTGCAACTCAATTGATAACAAAGTAATAAATCAATACAAAAGATAATAACACAATTATCAATACAAAAATACACAATATACAAAAATGTACAAACAAGAGTCTCATCGAAAGTCAACAGTTTCCATGCAGTATCCATGCAATGTACATGAAGAGATCAAACGAAGCACACACACAGACACACACACAACAATAACAATTACAACATCAAACAACATAACATCCTGCTGCTTGAATGAAAAATATTTCTGTCACTGGCCATCGAGTGTAACTTTTTTGGACTTTGTTGAGCGGCCACTTCACATAGGCCATATGTTTCATTGAGGGGGTGCTTATACCCTAGCCTATACATAGTACTCTTGATCTCGACCCTCAACCTTTGACCTCTTGACCTTTGAACTAGTGGGTCTAGGACTTTTGACTGACGTCCCGGATGCGATGACGTTGCCTTCCCATGATCCTTTTCCGCTGTCATCCGTGTCATGTTCTTTTTCCAGATTTAGGTGTTGTGGTCTTCTTGTCATTCTGTGGGGAAGTAGAGGAGACCTTGTTCTTGCACGGTCAGGGTTCACACAGGACATCTCAATCGTTTCTGTGGTGCCTTTCACTTTGTATCTGTTAGGTGGTTCTGCTTTGACCACAGTAGCATTCGTCCGCTGCTTCGTGTCTTTTTTGTCCTTTGTCGATTTTTCGCCAACACGCCTTGTTGACTTCTTACTTTGTCTTCCTGCTCTTCTTTCCTTTGGTTGACTTTTGCTATTCGGGACTGCAGCAGCGCGTCTTTTACTGGATCCGTTTGCGGTAGGTTTGGTGTCATCTTTCTTTGACTTTGCCTTTTTGGTATGGCTACGAGGACGAATACCGTTTTGGTCAGATCCGATTTCTTCCTTGCCTACTTGGTATCGTTCTGGCCGGTTCCGAGCGTTATAAAGCTGTCTTCTTCTGTAACAACAAAACACACACGTAACCACAATGATGAGGACAAGAAGAGTCACCCCTATGGATACCGCACCCTTCAGGTACACCCAGGAATCTGTTTGCCCAGAAACCTCTTGTCTTGTCGTTACCATTTCTACTACAATAGGTGGTATTTTCTTCTTCCTGGTAGGTGCTGTTGTTGTTGTAGTAGTGTCGGTTGACGTTACTGCTGCAGTGGTTTGAGTAAAGCCGGCAACTTGAACTAGAACTACTTGTATCGTCGTTATCTCGGAAACGGAAAAGGTTCTCCGTCTATCCTCGGCCTCACAGCTGTAGATGCCCACGTCGCTGAGCTGGATGTTTGGAAAGTTCAGATATCGGCCTAACACGCTGTCTCCAAGTGCTCCACTCTCGCCGATCTTCCACCAGCGATACTCAATGCCGACACGCCCAGAAGGGTTTTCCACGACACCGCATCTTATAGTGACGCTGCTGTTCACCAGGGCCACAGTATTTGATGGCTGGATTCTAACCTTAACGTTGTAGCAAGTCAGCTGTGATTGTACTTGGTATGCCGTGAGTTCACGTAGTTTACTCGGCATGGTGCATGTGATCTTTGCTGCTAGATCTGGACATGGCTGTAGCGGCTTCAAGTTGCAGTCGCACAACCAAGGGTTGCCGCTCAGTTCTATCCTCGGTACGACGCCTTGTGTACCTCGGCAGAAGCCTGCTGGTAACGTACGGAGCCGGTTACGGGATAAATCCAGTAGGTTCAAGCTACCAAGCCTTTTGAACGTGGCTGCTCTAATACTTCCCAGCTTCGTGTCTGACAGAAACAACTCTTCCAGCTCATCAAGATAATTGAAACAGTTCGTGGGAAGAACATTTATAGGGTTATGGCTGAGGTTAAGGATACGGAGATTAGCGAGTTTCCGAAACTCTGAACATGGAACCGACACAAGACGATTTCGTGACAGGTCCAAAGCCCTGAGCCTTACCAGGTCATGAAAAGACTCATTTTCAATCGTTGCCAGTTGGTTTCTAGACAGATTTAGATGTTCTAGATTCCATAAGCCTGAAAAATTCCCCGCAAATATGCTTCTTATGGTGTTACCATGGAGATTGAGGACACAGGTGTCGTTTGGTATTCCAGTGGGCACAGTGGAAATATTCTGACTCTCGCAATAGACTCCTCTTTTGGGCTCAGACAGCAAACACCTGTTATCTACTGGCGAAACTTGGTTCACTTCTACACACAGTTCTTGGCTCTTTGCTAGGGTGACTTGGACCAAGACAATGGTTGCAATCAAAAGAAAACATTTGTAAACTGACGAATGCATTTTTAAGTTGGCCACCTGCAGATATCTAATTTGCTATACAGATTAGATGTTAGATTTCACTGTGATATTTAGAGTAACAGGAAAAAGACGCCACCACTGGAGTTCGAAATTCACCTAAGCCACCCCCATGCAGTCGGCTTGATAAAGTCGAACGAGCCACCAACACAGACGTTAGACGAACAGGGGTTTTTAAAGTAGGTTCGAATGTTCTCGGGGATAAAGTTCAAGTTTGAACAGTCTTGGCATGCTGTCACCAGAGATTGAGATTTCACCAATGAAAGACGAAAGCACACAGACAAGGCGTCACCTAGGTAACCCACGATTGAAGGTTAGCATCCGCCTGTGGTAACCTCTGACGTCAGAAGTTTCCGTGCACAAATTATGGTGTCGTCACAGGTTCTCGCCACAATGAAGGTCACTTAGTACAACTGCACCAGCTTTAACATAAGTAACATAAGAGAAACGTTAGTACAGCATTTAGAAACAAGATACAATGGCAGAACTGTACTTTTGTGTGTGGATTCTTAGTTAACATTGTTTAGTTTAGTCTATTAACTGAATCAGAATTGAACCATAACAATACAAACGACAAAATTTTTGTTACATGTAACAGCTAAGTTGGTTGATTACTCTGATGCTTGAAGGTATGACTATTTCTATTTCTTTTCTGAGCTGGTATTAGGTACTTAGTCGTTGGTACGTCTACCCGTTTATTTTGTAGATCATGCATAGTCATGGGCATTGTATTTGTCGTCTGTCTTCCATTGACACCCACTGTAGGTTTGCTTTCATTTCCGTGACACTAGCTCCCCTTTCATACTCATGGTTGTTTGTACAGTTCAGTTTGGAGTTTGTTAGCAGAGCCAGCTCATGGTCTACATATGCTAGTCGTTCACATATTTTTGTTGGGATCTGCAATGCCGTACAATGTCGTGAAAGGCATATTTAGTTGTAAGTCGTCAAAGAGAAAGGGCCCAGTCTTGTTCATAACAGTTAGTCTCCGCAAGAGGGCTGAATAGTACATGTCGTGTTAGTGTGTTGGTCTCCCTATTCTTTAGTTTCCTTGCGAGAATATTTGATTAGAAAGATCCAGGCATTTGTAATCCCTTCTTTTCACCATTCATAGATGTGGCCAATGGTAAACACTACATTATACATACATAGAACAATAATGATTAGGGTTAGGGCATTTTCCTAAGCTATGTGTGCATTTACGTCATGTGTTATGTTCTTTCCATGCATTTAACTGACATATACCGCCTAAGTATAGTAACTGAAACTAAATTAACAAAAGGTAAACATTTTATATATAATACATTATAAGATGCATTTTATTTTTGCAATGCGTAAAAGGAATCTTTGTCAGTAGGTCATGAAGGCATGCAAATTCTCAGATTGAGCAAAACGAACAAGAAGCACAAGGATGAAAAGTGTACCAGCCTTGTAAGGTTTATTCCCCTTAAAATGAAGGTATATGCTAGAATTATATAGAAGACAATGTAATACAGTTGTCCGAAGTACTTGGAAAGATAGCAGGTATCCTATTGGAAGAGGCGAGGGCAATGTCTAAGCTCTATAGTACAGACAAGGCCCGTCCTCTTATATGTTTACGGGGTGTTTTGAGATGTTGAAGTTAGAATTCAGAATTTTTGAGAACCAGTGTCCCAAGTTATAACGACGTTGATTAAATCATTATAATACCACACTTAAACATACTTAAATGAAATAATGGCAACTGTAATATTTTAACTACTTTCTGACATAGTATGATATAGTTATATTTGATGATGCCATTATAATCAATTTTCTATGACTTGATAAATATTTGCAGAAACGTTCTACAAAGTAATGCTGCATATTATACATATAGATATAAACAGTGCCTCATAATCTACATGGATAAACCCAATAGTTTATAAGCAATTATAAATATAATTTTATTTTGAAGTACTAGCTTCTATCCCGTAATGCTTTAGCAGGGAGTAAAATTAAATCTGTTTTTCCTGACCCTGCAATATAAATGAAACCAAGAATATATACAAATTAATTATTCTTGCAAAAGAGGACATAGGCTATTCACATCAGTTCCTATGCTATTCAAAAGATAGCATGTCTCAGGTCATTTCCAAAAGATTTTAAAGCTCCTTTCATAAAACTTTACAATACTTTCGAATTCTCCGTTACAAATTTTCACATTACCGAGTCTAGGACAGGTACACCAAAATGTTATATATCTACAATAAGTATATGTTTGGCAATATTATTTCCAACAGAACATCATGTACATTGTGATGTAAAAAGTACCATGTCACCGATTTCAGTACACCATATCGCTATGCCTACGTCCGTCGAATTCCATGGGCCTCTTTCTCCTGCCCTTGGTCAAAGATACGTCTGAATGGATGCCGTTGTAATCCTCATCTGACGTTAGCATGGTAATGTCCTTAGACGACCCCTTCCCACTGTCTATGTCTATTTCCCGGTCACCGTTGTAGGCTGCTCGCCTCGCGTTCTCGGAACTCCTGGACCGGCTCATGGTGCCTCTTTTCACCCCGACTAGAGGGGACTTCATGTTGGCGCGGCGCGGGTTGACGGGGGTGCCGTCGGGGGTGTCCTGGTAGTCGTCTTCGTCGTAGTCGTCGACTTCGATGACAACCCTCTGGGAGGGCATGAGGTCGTCCCTACGGCGCGACGCCCTCGCCGAGTCCGCAGACGTGTACCCGCTCCTGGGCCTACGAGCGGACGGGTTGCCCCTGGTGGGTCCCCGACTGGACGCCCGGCTAGAAGCCCTGCTAGCCAGGCTTGTACGGCTGCCCCTCCGCGAAGGGTTGTTCACGGCCAGGTTGGAGCCGTGCCTTCTCGCCGTGTTAGCTCTGGACCCTGCCGGTCTCCTGCCGCTTCTACGCGGTGGCGCGTTTTCCATGTCGACGTAAAGGTCAATGTCCTCTTGGTTAGAATCGTCGATCTGGTCGGGGATGGCCCGAGGGGGTTTGCGAACCGGTATGGAGTTGCTGGACTTGGAACGATTTGATCGATTGGAGCGATTGGAGCGGGCGGAACGCACGCTGTCGCTGTCGTCGTCATGGGCGGACTCCAGGTCACCCAGCGGGACCGGGCCTTCGTACTTCTGCAGGCTCTTCTTCCACCGCCGCTGGTTCCACACGTAACACACCCCGCCGATTATCAGCAGCGTGACGATAGCACCCCCTGCCGCCGCCGCCACCATCTTCCAGTCAAACTGTCCCGAACCTCCGCCTTCCAAGTTTCCCTTCTTGCTGACCTGCTTCGGCGTGTTAGTCACTGTAGTAGTACCGCCGCCCAAGGGCCCACCAGCATTAGGTAGAGGTGTGTTGTTTTTGGACGATGCCCGTGTCGGAGACGGGGCATCAGTGCTCGTAGGCCCGCCGAAAGGGTTAGCGGGCAACGATGTCTTCTTTGTCGGAGTTACAGTCGTCTGAACTGTGGTCGAGGGCCTTGCGGTCGTCGGAGGAGCGGGAAGGACCACCAGAGATGCGACCGCCCAGGAGGTCAAAGCCTCGCACATGTATATGCCGGCGTTCTCGGGCTTGACGCTTTCAAACGCCAACATGCGGCCGTTCCGAAACAGTTCGACGCCGATGGATTTGGACATCTTCCACCACGTCACGTCACGCTTTTCTACACCGTCCGCTTGGCACGTGATGTGCACGGCCTGGCCGGCCGTCGCCACGGTCTCGCTAGGGTCGACTGTTATGGGAGTAGACGAGCACCCCATCCGTTCCGACGACACGGTTCCCATCGTGAGACCGCGTAGCGTACTCGGCATGGCGCATGTGATGGCACTGCTGACATTACTACACGACCTGATGGGGATCATTTCACAATCGCACACCCACGGGTTGGCGTCCAGACTTATGCTGGGAATCAGGTTCTGTCCTTGGTTGCAAAACGCCGGCGGCAGCGTGCTAAGTCTGTTTCCTGAGATATCCAAGTGTCTGAGGTTAGACAGCCTCTGGAAAGGCACGTGGCTGATAGTACGGAGACGCATGTTTTGTAGATAAAGTCTCTCCAGGTTCACCAAGTCGTCGAAGCAGTTGTCAGGAATAGAGCTGATGGGATTGCCCGAGAATTTGAGTCTTCGCAGATTTGGAAGAGAGGAGAATTCTGAACACGGCAAGCTTGTCAATTTGTTGTATTGAAGAGACAGTAGATCGAGGAGGTTTAAATGATAGAACGCCCCAGTCCGAATGTCGCTTAGCCCGTTGTGGTCAATGTATAGTCTGGTTAGGTCTGGAAAACGCGAGAATCTGTTTCTTGGAAGAGCACGGATGCTGTTGTCATTCAGTTGCAATATCGTGGTTCTCGGAGGTATTCCGTCGGGCACCTCTTCGAGTCCTTCGCCGACGCAATCGACCGTTACTCCGCCAGTGAGGCCACTACTGCACGAACATCTCATGGTTTGGCTGTCACTGTCGCAGGCACGAACTCCATGGGCATAGCCAGTCGCTGCTAGCATCAGAGACAGAGCCCAGAGTAGCACTTCCACCGAGGAGGCCATCTTCGACCTATAGAATTCACTTTGGGTACGTCTTTTTATCTAATAGAATTCGGAAGGCTCGCGGTATCAAATCTAAGTTCTGCCTAGACCAAGAAGAATAGCTAAGACGTGATACGAAGGATTTCTAGAGAAATTAAGACTCGAGTAGATCAAGTTCACAGGGTTTTCAGGTTGACACGGTAAAACAGGACAGCGAAAGTTACATGCGGCCCCCAAGGTTGGGAGGTTGCACACGGTGGATCACCTAAGTGTCCTGTAGACCAGTCTATTTCACACGTGTGTCCCAGACGTTGCGTTCTGTCCTTTCGGTGGATTAGCTGTGCTGATTTTCCAAACGTCCAGCCAGGCTTCAGGCCACTGTATGGAAAAAAGGGAGAGTGTGTTAGATATGGTCATAATACGATCATTGAGATAACCAATATTGTAAGTTTGGGCATGTTCAGATTCAATCATAGTGGTAAACGTTTACAAGTCTGACACGTCCAATAGATGCAGGGATTACGAAGTCAAGGGGTAAGATAATATCAGTTTATGAATGTTGGCTTCATAGGACATAATGAGTGTTACGGCTGCCAGGTAATCAACATTACTGGCTCTACTGTCTTGTTACAAGTAAAATATTCAAGTTCAGTATTAAGACATCCATTCATTTCGACTGGATCGGAAGCAATTCTTCTCCTTCCCTTTGATGTCCACGATTATCATACTGATCACTCTGTTATGTCCGAGTGATTTGAGGTGAATCACCAACTCTAGGCAGTACGGCTTTTGGACCATCGCACACCCTACTATTTATCGATAGGTGTGGTGGGTTTCCCCAAAACGGGACCTCCATTGAACGTTCGAGGGACGTACCTACCAAGGTTTAGGGCTAGGTACTCATTTTTACCGGAGATTCAGTATAAACCACTAGAGATATCCTGTGTCTAGCGGGTTTATACTGAATATTAACTTATTAAATGTTATAGTATTCAATTATCTTTTGATCAGTCTACTTACTGATTCAGTCCTAACTACTCAAATACTCATAAATTTGGGAAAAGAAATCCAGATATACACTTAATAGATAACAAATCTATAGCTTTATTTTTAATTCAGTGTAATACCAATAATACTGCCATTGCCATGTAGCTATTCACAAGCATTTTTAAATTATAGTCGATACTTTAATTTATTTGTTTGTTTAATGTAACAATGTGACTCGTTGAATCAAAACTACTTCAAGGTGAATATTAACATCTTTGTTTACAAATTAATACTGGTGTTTCTAATAAATAGATAATCCACTAAATTTATTGCTTTGGCATGCTTGTAACAAGTAAATACACCATGTACAAATAAATATACCTTATTTTTATAAACGTAGTTACACTAAATTATAACTTTTCTAAAATCCCATATAATAGACTAGAACTTCTGCTTCTACAACTATTTCTATTTTGATTCTAGGCTTCACTTTTTGTATCCTGCATATCCCTGATAGTATGTTTTATTACCATACTTGTAGTATATACAATCCTCAAGATGGACGAGAGATTGATATCTCAAATTCTGAGAAAAGGCTGACTTGGATAGAGTGCCCGGCCTGAGATGTTATAAAAAACAGTCCTCATACTTCTTTAGATGATCCTTTTCCACTGTCAGCGTCTTCGCGACCACGCCTAGGACGGCGCTGTGCACTTCTTTTTCCGTCCGGTAGGGAGCGCTGTGAGGTCCGCACCTTTGGTAGACGTGCTCTTGAAAAGTCTTGCATTTCAAACGAATCGTTCATGTCCACCTCCGGTGGTGTAGCGTTACCGGGATCAAAAGTTTCCGCGCCCCTTCCCGTGGCAATTGCCCTCCCGCCAGCTCGACTCTTAACGTCCCGTCTGGATGTTGAGTGCCTCTGAGGATTCCACCGTCTCCACAGGTCTCTTTCAGAAGCGATCGTTTTCTTCGCCCCAACTTGTCCCAGTCCGTCGATGTCGTCTTCTTCCCCACTGCCTTCGTGGTCTATGACGATTACATCAGGAACGACATACTTCGGCTTTCTTCTTCGCCTGGAGCGTCTGGGACTAGGTACAGACCGAGAAGAACTTTGCGTGCTGGCTGAAACGTTATCGCCGTTGTCTCTTCGCCGCTTTGGTACACGCTCAATACTGCTATGATACTGTCTTTCCCCTCTCCTGGGCGTCTTTGGTTTTGAGTTTCTGGATGTCCTACTTGAAGCGCCGCTATCTATACTCCTTCTTCCCATCGAGTGTCTTCGCTCCAACAACTGCTTGCGTTCATCTTCAAGATGCGTTCTAGGGTATCTTTCGTCTTGAATACGTCTCGAATGTCCCTGTGAACCAGCAGGGTGGTCGACTTCATCACTAAGCTCATCGTCCCCGTTATGATTACGTTTGTCGTAAGACTCATTACTGGCTAGACTTTGCTTTGATCTGTATTGCGGATCTTCGTCCATGAAGACTAACTCGCCACCAAGAGGTGAGGCTGGCGGTGAATCCACCACTACGATCGGAATGGGTCCCTCGTACTGCGGCAGAGCGTCAACGTTCCCCCACCCTAGCTTCTTCAAGGCCGTCAGTGCCAGGCATGTAATGATCAAAGCTACGAAGACCGCTGAAAAGATGATGACTATCAGCTGCCAACCTACAATCCCTGATGGACCAACCTCTCGATGGCTTGGAGTTTTGTAATCTTCTGGCATTGAAATATTCAAAGTTGCATTCTTGCCCACTGTTGTACCAGTTGTAGTTACTATCGTCGTCACTTCGGATGATTGGACGGTGAACGCTAAGGTCGTGGGCATAGGGGGCGTTGGAACAGAAAGTACTTCAAGTTTAACATTTCCCCATGCCTTTGTTGTGTTATCAATGGAGACTTCACAGATGTATACTCCAGCGTTTGCCCTACTGACGTCTGTTAGAAGCAAGTTGGGGCCCTCTGGATAGAAATGGGCATCACCAGACTGTTGTATCTTCCCCCAGGTAATGGTGGCTGGAGAGATACCTTGGACGTTACACTGCAAGTTAACTGCATCGCCAACAGAAACGGAGGACCTTCCCGTAATTGTAACATTGGCGTCAGAACGACGCACAAGTTGGTCGGGGGAAAGAGTGCTCAACATGCGTGACGAGACGCTTGACGGCATGGCACACTTGATTCTGCTGCTGACGTCCTTACACGACAGAAGAGGGAGGAGGGAGTCGTCGCATCGCCATGGGTTCCCGCCCAGATTCAACTTAGTCGGTTCACCAAACCTACAAAATGTTCCTGGTAGAGTCTTAAGTTGGTTGTACTGTAGATTAAGAGTGTTCATGTTTACTAGGAAGCAGTTTTGGTCGTCTTTACATGGTAAAGACTCCAGTTGATTGTTTGATAGGTCTAAACTTTTCAGTGATGGGAAAGTACAGTTTGAAGGAATCCAGTTGATCTTGTTATTGTCCAGCTTGAGGGTATACAGGGACGGAAGGTGTTCCAACGCTTGGCATGGAAACGTTCTTAGCAGATTGTCAGAAAGCTTGAGGTTTTCCAGGTTCGTAAGCCCCCTAAAGGCGTCTGGATGTATTGACTCCAATCTGTTTCCAGATAGGAACAGTAGTGATAACTTGGGGTAGTTGACGAAGCTGTTTGGTAGAAGGGTTTTGATGTGGTTGCCCGTGAGGTCCAGTTTCTCCGTGTCAGGAGGTAGAGCATTTGGCACAGTTGTCAAGTTTTTATCATTACAAAGATAAAAACCCAGTACATCGGCGTCATCGCGTGTACAAGCACTGTCCACATTTGCATACTGGACGAAGACCAGGGCTAATACCAAGACGTGTTCGAATGTCGCCATCTTGTTTTCAGGTCTCTCTCTATTCTTTGACCTTGAATGGTAGTGTGACCTTTGCTCCGACGAAGAAGAAGAAAAGTATCTTGTGGAATGTCTCCTGAGGACATGAGGCTAAGATCTTGAATGGGGCTGCCATTCCTCCTGTCTTGAGTTTGCCCAAGGCGTGATGTGTCCTTTCATGACGTTGTTGTTTTTCCATCCTGTTGACCCCAAGAGGTCATGACCTTGTAGCCATGACCCCTACTTCATGTAGATCCTGCGAACTAGACAAAAACAAACATATTAATGAGTGTAGAAATCTTAACCTATATGAAAATGCTCTTTAACTTTTGATAAGTGAACACCGAGACTAATTAATTCCAAGATTTCTCTGGTCTGTGAAAGATATTGTTGACATTTCAAAAGGATGCAGGCCGTGCAGATTTTGTTGTTACATGCCTGATGACCTTTCAAAAGTTGCTCTACTACTTTTGACCTCCACATGCCGAATCATGTAATAAGAGGTTAATGTTGTGTTAGTCTGGCCACGAGCAGTCCATGTGAAAGGATAGGGGGGAAACTTGATGCACCATGAAAGACCGGGAGAGTGCTGCTGTCCTGCTTTTGAGGAAATGCCCTTGTGACAACATACAAAAGAATTGCATGCAGAATATAACAATCCCTTTAGGGTTTTCACAATAATAGCGACTTTAAAAAGCGACCGGAAGAGTAACCCACAGACAAACACCACGCAAAATACAAGCATGCAATAAGGTGGTCCCAACCTACCTGCAGTAACATCTCATTCCGCTAGGTGCATCACCGGCTGCTCTCAAAAAGATGCTATTACACGAAAGCTTGTAAGACTAGCGTTTACATTATCACAATAGCAGCGTATTACGTGAAGCAAGAAGTCTTGTTTAGTGTTGTTAAATGAAGTAGAAAGTCATGAAAAGATGCCCGATATGGGGATGCAAAGCGTTAAAAGAAAGAGATGAGGGATTGGGCAAGAATTTTTTTTGTCTGTATGATCAGTGATATTAGAAATGATATCATGTGCATGGAAAAGCTTATTCGTCAAATTGTTTAGATATATACATAGAAAACTTAGTTTTTCGGCCACACCGGCTACGTCAATGATATTAGTAGCAACATGTGAAAATCAGTGCGGAAAATAGCATCGATGCCTATAGTAAATACAGGTTTTCCCCCCTCCCCCATAATCTTTCTTCCTACCCATCTAATATACCGAGGTTTATTTCTAAAAAGGGTTGGCTGGCAAGTCCTCAGTTGGTCAGTGAAAACAAGTTTGTCAATTTTATCACCTGTATTTAGCTCGTAAGGGCATAAATGTACAATAAAGGTCTTTTATTCATTCACCCCTGAGAGAGATCGACTAGAATGGAATTAGAGCGAACAGTTCATGTCGTCCATGGCAACCTCTAGTGTGCTACAAACATACAGGTGTATCTATGTATGATGCAGAGCAATGGACACACTTGACTTCACACTCTTTTAATACTTAATACTTGTTAAAAGTTTCATGGACTTGTGGCGTTTT